ATTAGTTGGAAATAGTTAAATTAAATGTTGAACATGCAAATTTCTGCAGAAAATAAAAAAATTTAAAACGTAGTATTGAAGAAGAGAGTCGCACGCGCTCGCTCACCATATATGCTAGGCATATATTTAGGCACTTCGAAAAGAGAAGAAAATGGCAATGTTCAACCAGTAAAAGACCGATAAATAAAAATATTACTCACCATGATCAGCCTGGGTAAATATCCAATGAATAATAATAGTCACTTTTTTAGGCACTGCAAAAAAAGATAAAATGGGTTAGCCTGGGTAAAATAACTGAACAACATAGATAATGAAATCACCGTAGTAAAGGAACACAGAAAGCATGACAAAGGCATTGAGAGCACATCAAAACAAATCATACAGTGGAAAACAAAAAAAAATTTTTCCGAAAGTGAAACATGATTCCGGGGAATGAATTTTCTCTGTTAAACATAAAATTTAGAAATGCATTTTTTGTATTGGCAGATTGGTGTAAGAAAGTGGGTGAAATAAGCAAAAAGGAACTGAAAATCACATCTAGTAACAAAAAAGCATGACAAAGGCTGGACAGAGATTGTTTTAGTAGTGCCAAATATTGATTGTATAGAGGTATATTTTGCTGCTGAAGGATTTTCAGAACTGTACTTTTGCATCGAGCAGATGGTCTCTTGCCGGGTTCTTCCTCTGAGAATATAATCAAGCCATGGGCTGAAGGAGGCGTACTCTTTTGCGGAAGGGAAGTCGGGTCTTCTCTGGGCCCTATAAAAATGTTGGCCATCGAGCCTCGTTTCAGGTGAACTGAAAGAACTTTCCTCTCGATCTCCGTGGTAAAGACCCAATTCCGAGATTGCTTTGTGTAATCCGACTTGTTGCACTCGGTTGACTCGCTGCTCAGCGATTCGGTATAGAGTTCTGCTAACTCGTGAAGCATCCTGTTCAATGTATTCTTCTTCTTGTAATCTTGTTTTAGGAAGAGCGTCAGGCACGTAATGATAATGTTTATATGCCTCTAAAACAGGGGTCACCAAACTTTTTTGACCGCGGGCCGGGTATGACTCAAATTGTGTTGAAACGGGCCGGATGAATATTTTTGTCAATGCAATCTAATAAATTCACAAATGTTGGGAATATCGCAGAATATAGATCGAGGACATCCTACGAAAAAAAATTAACAAGATTTCTATATCTAGACAACTATCCTGAGTTTAGCTGTTATAAAAACGTTGCTCTCATGAATTAGAAATGTTACAAAATCCGCGGCAAAAAATGTACGCATCACGTCTGCTAAGTACCGTTACGCCGTGTTGAAATACCGCTCATAAAAACGACTGCCTGCTGTAGCTTGGAATTCTATGAAATTTTGACATAATTTAGATAAAATAAACAACTATTATCTGGTATTTGAATTTTTTCATTAGCGCATAAATTTCCCAACATTCGACGCTTTTAAAAATTACGCCCGGTTTTATACGTAGTGCAAATTATTGATATTGTCTATGGACACCAATAAAATTTATATGGACGTGTGTATTTCTTGTCTAACTTGATACTTACCAATTTTTATGAAGTTCGTACAATCAGAACATCGTTAAATATTACCCACAATGAACCACTGTCAAACTATCATGCACAACTCCAGCGTTTATTTGCGACGATCTTTCGGCGGTGTCAATGACCGTTGCCAGAATAAAATCCTGAAATTATCTCAATATACCATAGATGTGACGCACATCGAAAGATTAGTGATTGATATGTGTTATTTTTCCATATTTAGTACAGTTCTTATCAAAAAAGTAATCCAATCATTATGAAAAAAATTGGCTGTCGGGCGGTACTAAAATTCCGATATCTCCGTTATTTCTTGACCGTTTATTTCAAACTTGGTATTGTTTTCTATTTTTACTCAGATCTTTCCACTGGAGCAGTTTTTATTTAAATCGGATGAACCTCAATTTTTTTGTAACATACCTACATGAATATCCGCATTAAAGCAGTACAAAAGTTAGTGTGGCTTTTGAAATTGGAGCAGTACGCGAGGGATTACAGTACTGTTAGCACAAAATGCACATTCGACGTTTATTTTAGCACGAAAAACAAACAGTTTCGTCGAAAGCAAGCGCCACGAGTGTACAAGTGTATTGCAGAAAACGTTACGTACTGGTAGCATTCAAAGTCGCAAAAACGAAGTTTTGTTTACAACCACGACTGAAAATCTGTCAGGGTGACAAAAGTGTCTGAGCGGATGCGGAAAGGCCTATTATTACGTCACTTTTCTGCATCTTGCCGATTGGCCAATGTTACGAAATAAAAAAAGGACGACGATGCTCGTGAAAATCTTCCTTGGAAAAAAATTTAGCCATTTTTGCGTGTTATTGCGGACCGGATAAAATGACGCCGCGGGCCGGATAAAATGACGTCGCGGGCCGTAGTTACCCCTGCTCTAAAATATCGCTATATGTACTTCTATAAGTATATAATGAATAAATCTAAATAATAAATAAATAATGTTTAATAATATATATATATATATAACAATAACACTTCTACAAATATCACATCTAAATAAAAAAAACATATACCCATCCGTTAGGGTGAGTATTCTATAACTATTTATGTTTCTCAAACAATTCATAGTTCAGTGTAATTTGTGCAGGAATAGCTATTTCCGTTGCAGGCTTTGTGATATCCCAAGGAGTTGTATTCTTTGCAACCCAAAACTCAATAAATCTTGTTGCTGTCGAATAATTATCCAATTGTTGAGTATTCAATAATGATTGTCTTACAGGCTCTATCTCCTGATGTGTTAATGATGTGGCTGTTGTTGTTTCTTGTGTCATTGGTAATGTAAACTCATATTCATTCGTAGGATCGTATCTTATCATGGACATATCATCATATGCCTCTATATAATTACTCGCCACAATATCAGAAGCATGACTATTCCATATTGATAAATTAGCTGGATGATGACTTGTGAGGTTTGTACACGTTCTCATATACATAACAGGAGGCGTAGCTTGATTTAAGAGAGCCTTGCTCACATCAGTACTGCTTGGAGTAGGTATAACTGCTGGCAGTAAATGTAATATTGCAGATGTTATCTTGAAAGATATATATTCCTTAATCTCTGTATGATTCAAATTACCCCATTGAACAGATCCAGACTCTGTTTTAAACGATCCAGTTATTTCCTTTATCTTTGATGAATATATAAATGCATTCGGGGGCACTCCTGTTGATGATCCATTTGCCCATCCACTAAACAATAACACACCTCTTTTTCTTGTTACAGCCTTAAAGGTCTTTGTATATGGCCATGGAGAACAGAAGTCAGTCTTTAAGGTTTTTGCTCTGGGAGCCCCTCCGTCGTATCCTTCAGTAGCGTCTTCCATAACTTTACATCGTTTACTTGGTTTATCAAAGGTATATCCTCCGTAAAATAATCTCTTAAGTCCGAAAAATTTAGCAGCGATATGATTAAGCGCAATTGATGACGCGGAAGCGTGGGAACGTCGCTTTATAATGATGTCATTTAAGGGAAGATATGTCTGCCCATTAACAACAAGAGAGTACACAATGGACATTCTTGAGAGGTACTGGAAACATCTCTTACAAAAATGCATGGATATAGATGAAAGTAAGGTTATAATGCCTTCTATTAAAGCTATGCATTCGGATATAATAAAGTATATGACAATGGATGCAGATGACGTGGACATTATGATAAATGATATAGATAGTTGTCACTTTTGGGACCCGGAAATGATAAGTCGATTTGCCAGACTCGTTTTATTGAAAGTATTCAAAACGGTTGACTAAAATACAAATGAAATAATTAGCACCAAATAAATCAAAGACAAATGATACAGAATATAAAACTAATACTTACACAAAACAACTCCATATAACAGCATAGTCCCAAAACGACAGATATACAACCAAGGTAAAACAGTAACTATAAATGCAATACCATACGAGCTGTAGACATGCAAATATCATAATGTTATATCGAACGATTCGAAATACAGTATAAAAGAAGACTATTGAATGAATTCAAACTTCAACGTTATAAAGGCGATGTAATCTTAAACTGCCATAACAAGAAATGAAATCCTAAACTGCTACCACCAGAAATGCAATCTTAAACATCTTGCTGAGCTTAGGGGACGATAATAAAATAAATACGTAACACGATAACACGTGAAAGAGAAAAATGCGACACGTCGAATAGCGATAATCATCACGATGACGATGTACAACTGAAGGAATCCTAACTAAACTAAACTTTAGGACCACACGGACTGCCGACAAAGCCACCCCATGACTATCCGCAGGAAGTCATTCTTCTAGGAGGCAGATTTTCGATGCGGGTCGAATATGTATGCCATTTATAGTTTTAACCGCGACAGTTCGGACTCGTCCGTCAGAACCAGGGTAAATTTGAATAACACGACCAAGTTGCCAACGTCCTCTCGGTGCAACGGGGTCAGAAACGAGCACCAGATTTCCTTCTTGTAAGTTTCGTTGTTCCTTCCGCCACTTACATCGTGTCATCAAATTCGGTAGGTAATCTTTTCGCCATCTTCTCCAAAACTGATTACAAATAGCTTCGGTTTGCCTCCATCGTTTCCTGTAGCATAATTTCATCACGTCTGAATCCAGTGGAAACACTTCGGCCGAATGCCCTTTCAACAAACAATTTGGTGTAATGGCACTAAAGTCGGTTGGTTCGTCGCTCACTGTTGTAATGGGTCTACTATTCATGATGTCGGTAACCCTCGCAAACGCGGTCTTCAAGACTTCGTCGGTTACACGCACATTCCCCAGAACTGCTTTCAAAGCACGCTTTGCGGACTTTACTAATCTTTCCCAAACGCCACCAAAATGGGGAGCGTAAGGTGGAGTGAAATGCCATTCAATATTGTGTTTTAAGCACAGTTCTGCCACGCGAGATTCATCTATCGAGTTAAGGACGGTTTTCAGCTCTCGGGAACCACCAACTATATTTGATCCGTTGTCCGACCATATTTGGGATACAGGTCCTCGTATCGCAATGAAAGACAAAAGTACACATATGAAGGAATCAGTATCCATGCCATCTCAATGTGTACAGCTCTCATTGAAAGACAACAAAACAAACACCCCCATCGTTTCTCTAAGACCCTGCCTCTCTTTGTTTGGATCGGGCCGAAGAAATCCAGCCCGACATTTTCGAACGGTCTTGCTTCAGTAACACGAACTTTGGGCAGATTCGACATCAGTGGGGTTCTGCAACTTGCTCGGCGTCTTTTACATTCCCAACAATTATCAATTATTCGTTTGACAAGTTTTCTCCCTTTTATATGCCAGTAGCGCTGTCTTAATGCGCTAAGCGTGGCCTCTGGACCGGCATGTGCGAGTCGAATATGAGCAGCTTTCATTATCAACCATGAAATTCGACATGGGCAGTTCGAATCACATTTCAAACTTGAATACGGCAGTATAATAGGATGTTTCGAACGCAGTGGGATATTGGCATTTTCAAGACGGCCCCCGACGCGGATCACTTGTCCATCGAAAAATGGCGTCAGATTAAGTAACGTTGATTTTGATGATAAATCTTCTCGGTTAGTTATGCATTTGCGCTCCACGCGGAAATGCTTGTTTTGAGCAGAAACTATCCAATACCGGCCCGCGAGTTCCAACTGTTTAGGAGTCACAAGTTGAGCTGGCAGCGGGCTATACGTCGGACATTTCACAGAAAGATTCTTAAAATACCGAGCTGCCAACAAAACCACGGCAGTTCGTTTGCATAAGGAAAACCACGAATCAAAACGTTCGACATCGACGACCTTTTCGATTTCCGAATCAAGTACTCCATCGCTGTTATCCGTAGTTATAAAACAATCTGCTAGTATGCATGTTTGATATTTAATCTCTTGGTCGTGGTCGTCAACTGCACGTAACGCTATCTGGCTTGGCCAATCACTTTCGGGCATGAGCAAAAACTCTGGTCCATGTAGCCATCGATCAGAATTTTCTAGAAATTTGGAAACCGTCATTCCCCTAGTGCAGTAATCAGCGGGATTCTGTGCGGAGTCGACGTACTTCCATTGGTGTGGCCGAGTGTGATCGAGTATTTCGCGAACGCGATTGGCTACAAATGTTTTAAATCTTCGAGTTTTATTTTTCAAATATCTCAATACACAAGTCGAGTCGGACCACATATGTACGTCGCCTAGTGGAAGGGATAGTTCTTTTCGGAGAAAATTTAACAATCGCACGGCCAAGAGAGCACCTTGCAATTCTAAACGAGGCACGGTCATACCTTTCATAGGTGCGACTCTTGCTTTAGCCGCGATAAGACTACACTGAAAATTCTCCCGGGAATGCTTCGATATTATGTATGCTACCGCGCCATATGCCACTTCTGATGCATCACAGAATATATGAATTTCATACGAGGAACTTTCACATTTAACACCTTTAAATTGACGTGGAATCGAAAAACTCTTTAAACATTTCAGCGAATTTATCCAATTTTCCCAACACTTCAATCTCTTATTATCAAATACTTCGTCCCAAGCTAAGTTGTCACGCCAACATTCGCGCAGTAATAATTTGGCATACAAAATGATTGGTGCTACAAATCCTAATGGATCGAATATTGAACTGGTTACACTAAGGGCCTTTCTTTTCGTGGTAAATTCAGTAAATTTCTGGTGGTCGAATATAAAGCAATCCTTCTCGATGTCCCAATGCAAGCCCAGAGCTTTTCTAACAGGTAATCTGTCCAGATCTAAGTCAACATTAGTGACGACACGTCCACTGGATATTTCACGTAAAACCGATTTAGAATTCGAAACCCACTTGGTCAAGATGAATCCTTTATCGTGTAACATCTTAATCATATCTTTAGCTGTCGATACCGCGGAATCAACATTCCATTTCGAAGTAAGTGAATCATCGACATAAAAGTCTCTATCGGTAGTTAATATCACGTCTCTAGGAAACTTGTTTCTACTATCGTACGCAGCTCTCTTCAAACAAAAGTTTGCGACATAAGGTGAATCCACAGCTCCAAAAATACGAACTAAGAATTTATACACATCTGGCCGTTTGGTTGAAAAAAGGTCTTCCGACCAGAGAAAACGTGCAGAATCCGTATCATCTTCCGGCAATCGAATCATATGAAACATGGCTTCTATATCGGCGCTTATAGCGATTGGTCTTTCCCGAAAACGTAAAAGCACCCCGACTAGATTATTGATCAAATCGCGCCCGGACATCAATCGACTGTTCAGACTGACGCCGCAGCAAGTAGATGCCGCGTCAAAAACAATTCTTAGTTTATTTGGCTTGTTGGAATTTTCAACGCCATGATGAGGCAGAAACCAAGTTCGAGGACCGCGAAACGCCTTTTCATCTGAAGTTAGTTTACGCACCCAACCCCTTTCAATATTCTTCGCCATTTCTTTACAATATAAGTTTCGCAAACGTTCGTTTCCTTGGAGTCGTTTTCTGAGATTTTCGAACCTGTTAAGCGCTACGTGTTCGTTTTGCGGCATTTCGCAATTTTCATTTCTCCACATAAACCCAACCTCGTAATGACCGTCGATAAATCTAATTTTTCTTTCCATCAAATTATCAGTTTGTCTATCTTCAATCGACTCGCTACGGGTCAAATTGTACGCCGTGCCTACAGCTTCAGTGGACCAAAATCGCTCAACTTGTTCTTGCAGCATGTTATACTGGTCACGCAAATCACAACACAGCATATTTGAAACAGTTTCATCTTCATTAGTCGCGCCTGAAGACCCGATCAAAGTCCAACCGAGAGGAGTTTTAATACCCACTGGTTCATGTTGCTGGCCGACTCTACGTTCAAGCTGGAAATGCGCCAAGGGATTATCGGCTCCGATTAAAATCATGGCTTTGTTCGCTTCAATGTCGGTTAACGGAATATCCTGCAGGTGAGTCATATTGTGATCGTTCTTAAGGATTCTAGCTGGATGTGGTATGCGTGACTCGACCACAAACACGTTGCTTAACATCAGAATTTGACCACTCTCGTCGTGAGCAGATCGCACCGACAATTTCACCACCTCCGTATTTTGCGAAACGCCCTTATTGCATAAGGTGTTAATGGTTAGACACCTAGGACTTCCTTTCAAACCAAGTTTTTGTTTTAATTTGGGATGTATTATTGAGATTTGACTGGCAGAATCTAGAACAGCGATAGCATATTCAGAGGATCCCAATGGGCCTTTTACTACGACTGGCAAAAGCTGAAACTGAACACCATTAACGCCTGAAACATGAGAATTGGCAACGCCGCTCATATGAGGAGGGAGATCAGGCTGATTGTTATCACTCAATCTATTAGAAACGACTCTCAAACCATGGATGGCTGAATGATGCTTACCGGGACAAACACGACACATATTGCGGAACCGGCACGAAATAGCTAAATGTCCAGGTTCGAGACAGTTAAAGCACAGGCGTGAATTTAGTAGAAATCTTCTTTTGGTGTCATTGGCACTGAACCTGAAGCTATCGCAGTTACTTAAAGAATGAAAACCATTGCAATAGAAACATTGCATTCGCGGTTGTTCGAGCGGCTGATTTGAATGACCCGATAAAGGGTATACCACATTCTTCTTAGGAAATGCCTGTCTGCGATCGTCACGATCTATTTTAGTACTGAAAAGATTTGGTGAAAAAGGATTTCCTAATTCCTCGCATCGTTCCCACAACCACTGCTCGAAGTCCAGTAAACTCGGCATTTCGTCGGCACGAATCATATCAGTCACAAACTTATTCCAACTCGAGGTCAGTTCTGCCGGAATTCGCATTGCTGTCTTTCTAACATTTTCAATACTATACAAATCTGCAAGCAATCGCACTTTCTTCAAATTTATCACAATGTCGCGAACTTCAGAATGAAAATCGGATATTTTTCGGATACTGAATTCTGTTACTCGTCTACCATCTACAACCTTCTCGAGAAAGGCCCGAGCAATCGTCACCCGTTGGCCGAATATATGTTTCAATTCACTCAACGCGACAATATAATTACTTCCCACCGTGCCTAAGCCATCGACATGTCGTTTAGCCACCCCCGTCAAAGACGCGACTAAGCGAACCATACGCGAACCGTCGTCGTCAAGAGAACTGTGTACATTATCAAAAAATAACTCAATAAAGTTTGGCCATTCTAGGGGCGTTCCGCTAAAACTAGGAATCGTAATCGGCGATAAATGGTGCTGGGACAATATTCTAGAATTCAACTGTAATGATAACATAGTTTGTTCCTCTACTGACATATTAAAAGAATTAACAGAAAATTTACCAGACTGGTTAGGTTCCAAGTGGTCAATCCACGCGTCGACTGCTTCTTGTGGTATGAGCATTCTGTTTGCAGGAGACGGGCGTTTGTAAGTTCGTGCTGTCGGGAAGTGCAATTCTTTGGTCTTTTCTGAATTTGTTGCCACTTGACTCTTCTTCGGAACAAAAAAGTTCGCTGCACTTCGTCTGCGTGTTGACTCTAACGGATATTCAATATTGACGCCACGGAAGTTATCTTTAGGCATCTTTTTGGTAGCCAATTCAGTCTTTTCTTGTTCAATTTCACGCATAAGTTCGTCAGCTTGGCGACGTGTTAGATCTGCCATTCGTTCTTTTTCGTTTATGTCTCGACGTTTGGTATCAAGGCGACGCTCTAGTGCTGATATTTTATTGCGAATGGTATCTTCTTCTGTGAGAAAGTCTCGTTTAGCCATACGTACAAGAGAATCGGCTCTTTCTACCTCTCGTTCTTGCTCAAGTTGCAATCGCTTCAGTGATTCAACACTGCATTTGCTTGTATTGGATTCGACAGACCCGTGATCAGAAACGATCTCCTCGTCAAGGTAAGAATTAATTCTGCTTTCAATTTGATCGATTTTCGATAACATCATTTGCCTTCCAGTTTCATATTTCTTCAAAACATTTGGATTACGGGTAGTCGGAATGAGTTTATCCATCACTTGGTCATAAGCAATTCGTTTAACATGAAGTTTAATTTTAAGATCAGTAACGATAGAATTTTGAGCATTTTCAGTAATCGATTTTGAAATTCTGTCGCACAAACCATTTAGTTCATTTTGTAGTCGGACTCTTTCGTGGCATAATACATTGCGTCCAATAGTTTCAGAGTTACCGTCGTCTGTTTCCGCGAGAGGAACTGCAGGCGAAGAAGAAGCTTCTCGTCTATTCAAATCTTGTGTAACTGATTCATCTGCTTCGTTCATCGTCGTCGCAAGGAGGTTTGTTCAACTTTGTCACTTTTGGGACCCGGAAATGATAAGTCGATTTGCCAGACTCGTTTTATTGAAAGTATTCAAAACGGTTGACTAAAATACAAATGAAATAATTAGCACCAAATAAATCAAAGACAAATGATACAGAATATAAAACTAATACTTACACAAAACAACTCCATATAACAGCATAGTCCCAAAACGACAGATATACAACCAAGGTAAAACAGTAACTATAAATGCAATACCATACGAGCTGTAGACATGCAAATATCATAATGTTATATCGAACGATTCGAAATACAGTATAAAAGAAGACTATTGAATGAATTCAAACTTCAACGTTATAAAGGCGATGTAATCTTAAACTGCCATAACAAGAAATGAAATCCTAAACTGCTACCACCAGAAATGCAATCTTAAACATCTTGCTGAGCTTAGGGGACGATAATAAAATAAATACGTAACACGATAACACGTGAAAGAGAAAAATGCGACACGTCGAATACGAGAAAACAACACAGTAATGATGACGACGACGAGATAGCGATAATCATCACGATGACGATGTACAACTGAAGGAATCCTAACTAAACTAAACTTTAGGACCACACGGACTGCCGACAATAGTCAAAATGATCCTAGAAAACGGGCAAGACAAGAATTAGAGTCTGAAGACGATGAACCATGTACCAGTGGACTTAACGCAGATAATCTCATGTCCCTATTTGCGTGTAATGAACATTAAAAAATTTGGTACCACCTAATGTTTTCCGCTAATGCATTCCTTATGGGAAAAACCGCGGTGTAGAATGTTGTGGGTACGGTACTTCGTACTATTTGGATTAAGATTTATTTATATATTTTGGTACCACATCGTGTTTTCCGTTAATGCCTTCCTTATGTGAAATACCGCGGTGTAGAATGTTGTGGGTACGGTACTTGGTACTATTTCGTACTATGGACGAAGTAGTAAATCTAAAGCTTTGTTATTTGGTCCCGTGTACCCCAGACCTATCCTACAAATAAAACAAAGCTTTAGATTTACTACTTCGTTCAAGTACGAAATAGTACCAAGTACCGTACCCACAACATTCTACACCGCGGTATTTCCCATAAGGAATGCATTAGCGTCTGTCAGGCACTGGTACCAAATTATTTCATTGTAAATTGCGTGTTAAATATAATCACAAGTGGTAGAATAGACTTATATGTTATTGTGTTTATGTTTTGATTTTTTGCCTTAGGATTTGTATTTCATGTTGTATATAGTTTCATTTTGTTCTTTACCATAAATCGTAGCTTCACCATAAATCGTAGCTTAACTCTTATACTTAATAAGCATCATGAGTAAGGTGGGTAATATGACCTATGCGTAGGTTTTTCGAAAGACATAAGAAGAAAAAGAGGCCACAATACGCTGAAGGAGGATTAACACCGTTTGGATATGCGCCTCACTGCGGACCCTTTAACAGCATTGGACTTAACACAAAAAGTGATATCGACAAACTTTGTAAATCTCATGACGAAGCGTATAACGAGCTTATTAAGAATCACGGTAAGCTTAATACTTATTTACGGTATAATACGAGGTGTGGCTAAAAAGAAACGAGACTGACGTCACAGATTGCGCAACACGATTAACCATCGGTAATCAACACTTTTACAGTGTGGCGTAATATGTGTTCTTTGTTCAACAGCTGTTTTGACACAACATTGCAATTATTTTTGCTTTTTAGAAGCCATAAGTGAATGTGATTAACTGCTTGTTGAAAAAATTGCTGTGCGAGATCTGATTGAGTTTTTAGGCAATAGGGGGTTCAATTAAAGAATGACGACTGAGCAAAGAATTAACATTAAATTTTGTGTCAAACTTGGAAAAACGGCGACTGAGACTTTGCAGATGTTGCGTGATGTTTATGGAGATTATTCCATGTCCAGAGCAAGAGTTTTTGAATGGCACAAGCGATTTGTGGGAGGCAGGGAGGATGCGGAGGATGATCCGAAGTCAGGGAGGCCTTGCACTTCCACTACTGATTCCAACATCGAAAAGGTTGGGCAGTTGGTTCGCAGTGACCGTCGCTTAACAATTCGCGTCATTGCCAACGAAATTGGGATGGACAAAGAAACGGTCCGCACCATTTTGGTTGACACTTTGGGCATGCGAAAGGTTTGTGCCAAAATGGTGCCAAGGCTCTTGACTGATGAGCAGAAAGCTCAACGATTGAATGCATGCCGAGACATCCTTCAGCAGATAGAAGCAGACGAAAAACTCTTGGAAAACATCATCACAGGAGACGAGTCATGGGTCTTTCAATATGATCCGGAAACAAAACGACAGAGTCGTCAGTGGAAAAGTGTGTCCTCTCCCAGACCAAAGAAAGCCCGCATGCAACGTTCACAAGTGAAAGTGATGCTCATCGCCTTCTTTGACCACCAGGGAATGGTGCATCATGAGTTTGTTCCCCAAGGACAAACGGTTAACCAACACTTTTACAAGGAAGTTATGACTCGTCTTGTCAACAAAATTCGTCAGAAACGAAGAGCTTCCTGGGCGGGAAAAACTTGGATCTTGCATCACGACAACGCTCCTGCCCACACAGCCCTCAGCGTGAAACAGTTCTTGGTCTCGAAAGAAATCACCACGTTGCATCATCCACCTTATTCGCCGGACTTAGCCCCTTGCGATTTCTTTCTTTTTCCAAAGCTGAAGGGGATTCTCAAGGGGACACGCTTCCAAGGAGTCGAGGATATCAAGACCAGCGTGACTAGACACCTCAAAACCATTACAAAAGAAGAATTTTCACAGTGCTTTAAAGCGTGGTCAAAAAGAATGGAAAAGTGCATAAAAGCCAATGGGGAATATTTCGAAGGGGACAAGTAGAGATGGCTTAGGGCGTGTATGTGTTAGACAATGCAGACATTGTACGATATGCTTCTAAATAAACTTCTAAATTCAATAGTCTCGTTTCTTTTTAGCCACACCTCGTACAGCTGATGAGGAACTGGTCAATAGTATTCAAAGCTCTCAGGACAATACTGTGGCAGGTCATATCGCTGCTAAATTTTTCGGATTTAAAAGATTATTTTACGGAGGATATACCTTTGATAAACCGAGGAAAAGACGCAAACTTATGGAGGATATTACTGAAGGATACGACGGAGGCGCTCCCAGAGCGAAAACAGTAAAGACTGATTTGTACACCTTGGCCGTATACTAAAACATTTAAAGCAGTTACAAGGAAGAGAGGAGTCTTCTTATTTAGTGGATGGGCCAATGGATCAGCAACTGGCGTCCCACCAAATGCACACATATACTCTTCGAAGATTAAAGAAATATCTGGTTCATTTAAAACGGAATCAGGTTCTGTACAGTGGGGAAACTTGAATCACACGGAAATAAAGGAATATACATCATTTAAGATAATATCTGCTGTATTACATTTATTACCAGCAGTAACACCGACCCCCACCAGTATTGATGTCAGCAAGGCAATATTAAATCAAGCAACACCTCCTGTAATGTATTTACGGACATATACTAATCTGACTACTCATCATACTGCAAATGCAACAATATGGAATGGTCATGCCTCTGATATTACAGCTAGTAATTATATTGAAGCATACGACGATATGTCAATGATACGATATGATCCAACTGATGAATATGAGTTTACTTTACCTTTAACGCAAGAAAGTACCTCTGCGACATCGATGACTCATGACAAGATCGAAAGTGTCAAACAATCCTTGCTGAATACTCAACAACTTGATAATTATTCAACTGCAGTAAGATTTATTGAATTCTGGGTGGCACAGAATACTACGATCTGGGATATAACAAAACCGGCAACGGAATTATCTATCCCTGCACAAATAACACTGAATTATGAATTGTATAAGAAACATAAGTAGTAATAGAATACTCACCCTAACGGCTGGGTATATGTTTTTTTAAATAGATGTGGTATGTAATATATATATATATATATATATAATTTAACTTGTATTTATTTATTATTTAGATTTATTCATTATATACTTATAGTGGAGATTATTCAGAAATATTAGACGCGTATAAACAGTTTCATTACGTTCCTGATTCTTTACCGTACAGTGTGGCGTAATATGTGTTCTTTGTTCAACAGCTGTTTTGACACAACATTGCAATTATTTTTGCTTTTTAGAAGCCATAAGTGAATGTGATTAACTGCTTGTTGAAAAAATTGCTGTGCGAGATCTGATTGAGTTTTTAGGCAATAGGGGGTTCAATTAAAGAATGACGACTGAGCAAAGAATTAACATAAGAATTATAGTGGAGATTATTCAGAAATATTAGACGCGTATAAACAGTTTCATTACGTTCCTGATTCTTTACCGAAAACAAAATTACAAGAGGAGGAATATATCCAACCAGATGCTGCACGAGTTAGCCGAACTCTACACAGAGTCGCTCAGCAGCGAATCGTCCGAGTGCAACAGATCGGACTTTATGAAGCGGTCTCGGAATTGGGTATTCACAACCGAGATAGAAAAGAAGGAGTTATCAGTTCACCTGAAGAAAGGCTCGATGGCAAATATTTTTATCGGCCCCCGAGAAGACCCGACAACCCTTCCGCAGAAGAATTCGCTACCTACAGCCCATGGCTTGCTTATGTTCTCCGAGGAAGAGCAAGGCAAGAGAGCATCAGCACGCTGCAGAAGTACAGTTCAGAAAATTCTCGAACAACAGCATATACCAATATACAATCAGTATTTGGCTCCACTGAAACAATCGCTTTCAAGCTACGTAACATACGCCTTTAAACAGAATCTGAAATCTGTACCTGACAGATTACTAAAATTCGCAAATGCAGATTGCAAAAATTCCAGAGGGATATAAATTAAATGTAATTGTGGAAACAGCTGCTAAAGGTTACGCGACATACTCAGAACGACCAGCATATACAGAGTGGCACCGTTACATGACTATGTCATTAGGATTGAATATACAAGAACAAGCAATAAAAAGAACATACAACCAATGGCCGAAGAGTTTCGACAAGGCATTAAAAATTAAGTTAGCAAAATTTAAACGCCTTAGAAGAAAATACTTCACTGTAGAGGACATTATAACCATCACAACAGAAATCCTTAGCAAAACATTATTATCTGCCTCATGGGAGGGACATATATTAACTGCAGAGGAACTTCTTGTGGCTATGACAGCAACACAACTCGAAATGCGATTGCCAGATATAATGAATGCACCGCACTGGCTTTTTTATGGGCAAGCTGGTGCCGGTAAAACTTTATTATCGAGATTCATATTCCCAGATAACCTTTGCAGCGGTATGCCAAATGACAGCGAAGGAGTAGGAGCTATAGCAATGGACACAAATTCCGCAGCATTAAAATTAGAAGATGCAGGTGATAAGTTTTGGCGCAATTCTGGAATATTGGCTTCTATAAAGGAAATGTATCATAATTCTTGGCACGCGAAAATACATGGATCAAAACAAAGAAATCAACCAACGTGTTGCATAATAACAACAAACGACAAGAACCCGATGATCTCATTAAGCGCAATTGATGACGCGGAAGCGTGGGAACGTCGCTTTATAATGATGTCATTTAAGGGAAGATATGTCTGCCCATTAACAACAAGAGAGTACACAATGGACATTCTTGAGAGGTACTGGAAACATCTCTTACAAAAATGCATGGATATAGATGAAAGTAAGGTTATAATGCCTTCTATTAAAGCTATGCATTCGGATATAATGCATAACTTTTCTGTTTATGTGTTTAGATTTATGCCTAGATTTACATAGCAATCAACATGAGTAAGGTATGTACTACAACCTATGATTAGGTTTTTTCAAAGAAAGAAGAAGCGAAAGAGGCCCGATTACGCTGACGGCGGATTAACTCCATTTGGATATGCGCCTCACTGCGGACCCTTTAACAGCATTGGACTTAACACAAAAAGTAGTATCGACAAACTTTGTAAATCTCATGACGAGGGGTATAACGAGCTTATTAAGAATCACGGTAAGCTTAATACTTATTTACGGTATAATACAGCTGATGAAGAACTAGTCAATAGTATTCAAATCACTCAAGACAATACTGTGGCAGGTCATATCGCTGCTAAATTTTTCGGACCTAAGAGATTATTTTACGGAGGATATACCTTTGATAAACCAAGTAAACGATGTAAAGTTATGGAAGACGCTACTGAAGGATACGACGGAGGGGCTCCCAGAGCAAAAACCTTAAAGACTGACTTCTGTTCTCCATGGCCATATACAAAGACCTTTAAAGCTGTAACAAGAAAAAGAGGTGTGTTATTGTTTAGTGGATGGGCAAATGGATCATCAACAGGAGTGCCCCCGAATGCATTTATATATTCATCAAAGATAAAGGAAATAACTGGATCGTTTAAAACAGAGTCTGGATCTGTTCAATGGGGTAATTTGAATCATACAGAGATTAAGGAATATACATCTTTCAAGATAACATCTGCAATATTACATTTACTGCCAGCAGTTATACCTACTCCAAGCAGTACTGATGTGAGCAAGGCTCTCTTAAATCAAGCTACGCCTCCTGTTATGTATATGAGAACGTGTACAAACCTCACAAGTCATCATCCAGCTAATTTATCAATATGGAATAGTCATGCTTCTGATATTGTGGCGAGTAATTATATAGAGGCATATGATGATATGTCCATGATAAGATACGATCCTACGGATGAATATGAGTTTACATTACCAATGACACAAGAAACAACAACAGCCACATCATTCACACATCAGAAGATAGAGCCTGTAAGACAATCATTATTGAATACTCAACAATTGGATAATTATTCGACAGCAACAAGATTTATTGAGTTTTGGGTTGCAAAGAATACAACTCCTTGGGATATCACAAAGCCTGCAACGGAAATAGCTATTCCTGCACAAATTACACTGAACTATGAATTGTTTAAGAAACATAAATAGTTATAGAATACTCACCCTAACGGATGGGTATATGTTTTTTTATTTAGATGTGATATTTGTAGAAGTGTTATTGTTATATATTTATATATATATATATATATATATTATTAAACATTATTTATTTAGATTTATTCATTATATACTTATAGAAGTACATATAGCGATATTTTAGAGGCATATAAACAATATGCCTGACGCTCTTCCTAAAACAAGATTACAAGAAGAAGAATACATTGAACAGGATGCTTCACGAGTTAGCAGAACTCTATACCGAATCGCTGAGCAGCGAGTCAACCGAGTGCAACAAGTCGGATTACACAAAGCGATCTCGGAATTGGGTCTTTACCACGGAGATCGAGAGGAAAGTTCTTTCAGTTCACCTGAAACGAGGCTCGATGGCCAACATTTTTATAGGGCCCAGAGAAGACCCGACTTCCCTTCCGCAAAAGAGTACGCCTCCTTCAGCCGATGGCTTAGTTTTATTCTCAGAGGAAGAACCCGGCAAGAGACCATCTGCTCGATGCAAAAGTACAGTTCTGAAAATCCTTCAGCAGCAAAATATACCTCTATACAATCAATATTTGGCAACACTAAAACAATCTCTGTCCAGCCTTTGTCATGCTTTTTTGTTACTAGATGTGATTTTCAGTTCCTTTTTGCTTATTTCACCCACTTTCTTACACCAATCTGCCAATACAAAAAATGCATTTCTAAATTTTATGTTTAACAAAGAAAATTCATTCCCCGGAATCATGTTTCACTTTCGAAAAAAGTTTTTTTGTTTTCCACTGTATGATTTGTTTTGATGTGCTCTCAATGCCTTTGTCATGCTTTCTGTGTTCCTTTACTACGGTGATTTCATTATCTATGTTGTTCAGTTATTTTACCCAGGCTAACCCATTTTATCTTTTTTTGCAGTGCCAAAAAAAGTGACTATTATTATTATTATTCATTGGATATTTACCCAGGCTGATCATGGTGAGTAATATTTTTATTTATCGGTCTTTTACTGGTTGAACATTGCAATTTTCTTCTCTTTTCGAGGTGCCTAAATATATGCCTAGCATATATGGTGAGCGAGCGCGTGCGACTCTCTTTAATACTACGTTTTAAATTTTGTTATTGGATTTTCCTGTAGAAATTTGCATGTTCAACATTTAATTTAACTATTTTCAACTAATTCATTATCTTTTATAACTTATTACACCCATTTCACTTTTTTTTCGAAGTGGCTAAAAAAGTGCCTAAATTGCAAGTGCCTACTTTTTTTAGTCTGTCCCCTTTCAAATATTGATATTTCCTGTTTTTAGGCTTCAATTACCCACTTCAGACTTCGTGATAAGATTCTCGAAATTCTAAGAACAACGGGAGCGAGTGAAAGATATTTCACAGTTGAAAAGGTAAGTATTTTTTATTATGTTTTTGTTTTGTACAGCCTGACAGACAAGGAATACTTAAGTATGGTGATTTGTAAATTGGAATGTTTCTGTGTTCAGGTATTTCTATACCTCGGTAAATACGTGGAAAAAATAAATTATACAACGCGAGCAACCTTAATCGTATAATCATGAAAGGTGACAGTCTGTCTACAGTATTTAAGGTCAATGAAATCGTGTTCTACCGTTTCTGGTGAGTTTTTGCATGCATTTATATTTTATTGTTATCTTTCGTTTTGGATAGAAAGCCATAAGGACGTTCTAACAATTATTGAAACCTGAATTATGTATTACTTTTATAGGGATGTATGGAAGTTTATTAAACCACATATAATTCGTGTGATAACTGATGAAATAGTTCAATACGATGCAAAATTGAAGATTTTCTATCCTAATTCACAGGTACTATTGGGATAAAGTGAAATAGTGTTTAAATGTTCATTTTAGTTGTTTCTAATCATCAATGTTTAGTCTGTCCCCTTTTAAATATTGATATTTCCTATTTTTTTGGTTCAATTACGTAGTTCAGAGTAAGTGATAAATTGCTCGAATTTGTTTTGTACAGCCTGACAGACAAGGAATACTTAAGTATGGTGATTTGTAAATTGGAATGTTTCTGTGTTCAGGTACTTTTCTACATCGAAAAATACGTGGAAAAAAATAAATTAGCCGACCCAAATAACAAGCGTCGTATACGCACGAGATGTGACCCTCTGTCTAAAGTATTTTCGGGCCCCCAAGAATTTGTGATCAACCGTTTCGGGTAATTTTGTGCATGCATTTATTTTTTATTGATATCTTTCGTACTGGATAGAAAGTCATAGACGTTCTAACAATTATTGAAACCTGAATTATTTTTATAGGGATATATGGCAGTTTTTGAGGCCACATTTGATTCATGTAAAAAAAGAACAATATGATGAGAAGATGAAGAATAATTCACAGGTACTATTGGGATTAAATGAAATAGTGTTTAAATGTTCATTTTCGTTGTTTCTAATCATTAATGTAGCTGCAGGCGGATCAAATTCTACTAAATGAATACAAATTTATTGGCAAATTTTATATATGGAGCTTATGAAAAAACCTCAGTTGTGACAAATTTACATTTAAAAACCGAGATAACAAAGGATGCTAGGATGACCTATACACCGGGATTTGCAGAAATCATGAAGAGCACAACGGTGTTTGAATGCACTTATTGCGACGTCATGTGTATAGGAAATGAAGAGAAAAATCATTGGTCTGACTGGCACAATAAAGTCCAGTATTGGCGCTAAACAATGCATCCAGTGATATGTTCCATTATTCCGTTTTTAGAAATCCGTATTTTTGCTATTCCTATTTTTCATATCTTTGTGAAATAAAACGGCAATAACACTGCATATTGTGTGCTGTTAGTCAGACAATTTTGATATTTTTGCCGTTACTGTACTGTTTTTCATATTTTTATGCAATTAAACGGCAATAACACTGCATATTGTGTGATTGTGTGTTTTAGTCGAACAGATTTTGAGGCTGGATGTAATGCGTAAATTCCATGTGTATCGTTTACAAGTCGTTGGTCGCCGGGGAACGTTTTTTTCGTATGGAACGTAAGCGTGCTACGTGACGACGCAATAGCGTAACGGCGTAAATGTGTTAGGTCGTTATTTTCGTCACCTTGACGAAGCCTCGATGTTGCGACAAAGAAAATCACATATAAAAATGCTTCAAAAATTTGAATGGTGAAATATAATTTCAATCTAATGGTATCATTGAAAAGTTATCTCCAACTTCTACTAATGTTGTCGATAATGTACTTGGTTAAATCGAGAACAAATTGAAGTTTTCTCATGGATGGATTTAATTACACAATTCCGCAATTTAAGAAGTATTTCATACGGGATGAATATACATCAATAAATTTACACGAGCTCGAACAAAGATGAATTACATAAAAATAGAGGACCCATTTAAAAAACGAACTATGATACTTTACATCAAAGACTTTCTGTTAATTTGATGTTAACAAAATATGAGTTCTTGGAAGCTGTGGTGCCAACAGTATTCTGGTTCGCGGCGTATTTAAAACTCAGAGACGGAAATTATTAACTCACTAAGTTTTTCACTCATTTTACATTCACTTTCCACATTTCATTTTACATTTACATCTTCTGGATGTTTTATTTTTACTCATTTACGTTTACTTTTGTGTTATACGGTGTGGTAATAAATGTAAATGGTCATTTTTTTAAACAGCTGATTCCAAAGCCTTCTCAATGAGATAATTTTAAATTCAAATGTGAAATGCTAAATCCTGGTTTATCAAATTCCGTCAACTCTCGTTCAGTTATCAGTTAATTCTCATAGCGCGTCAGCTCTATCAGACATGAAAATAATTAGGAGTACCGAGACGCCAAATTACTTCTGGCACTAATCCTTATTAAAGAACAATCACAAATCTTTCGTACGCCGAATGATTAACAAGCTCTTTCAGCCATCCAATCAATTACAGGTGACGCCAAAGTACAAACAATCGCAAATCTGTCTCTAGAGATTTTAAAGATTAAAGGGTAAGCAAACAAAATTTGTCTCCTACATTCATTTCAAACTACGTTGACCTGAAAGCTTATCGGTCAAAAGAGCGATAAAAAAAAAACTTAATTGACCACTGCAGAGTGCCGAATTAGTAGGACCCATCGGACTGGACCCATGGCACACTGCGCCACATATGTATAACTACTGTTAATAAGAGTTTCGTCGAGGTGAACCACTAGATCACGTTTTCTATATTAATTCGTTGTTTGATCAGCGTCGTGTGTAGATATATCTGCATATATATATATGTTCCTGCATAATGGTTGCACGCAAACGCGCTAGCCGGCTAGAAGATCATGCTCTTACAACGACGCTACTGATCACAACGTGCGAACATGTGCAGTGAGAGCTTTTGTTGAAGTCAGGATTGAAGGAAAGTTCCGTGCATAAGGATTGTACGCAAACGCAATAGACGTTCATGCTTATACTGCAACGCTACTGATCACAATATGCGAACATGCACCGTGAAAAGTTTTTGTTTAAGGAAGTTTCCTGCATATTGGTCGCAAACGAGCTAGACGTTCATGCTTATACTGCAACGCTACTGATCACAACGTGCGAACATGTGCCGTGATAGGTTTTGTCGGAGTAATGTTGAAAAGCAATTGCTTCAGAGGGTGGTGCCTGGGAATGACGCCACTTCTACTAAAACGAATAACAAGAACGTTGCTGCGGTAACTGAGTTTTAACGCAATGGTTGCTGAAGTTCATTGACCAGCGGCCAAAATTAGAAGCGGAAGATATTCGCAGGCCAGAAGAGAGGAGCTATGCAAGGGACCGATAACGGTATTTGAAACACCGGTATAATTGAATTGTTACAACACCGGTATAATTAAATTGTTACAAACTGTGATAATGACAAAGAAAAAAAAACAGTGTTCAATCATTCCATTCAAGTTCGGTGGGCCATATTAACGTTGCGCAGGCTATGGAACCACTGCTTCAACGGAAGATAACTCAACACAATAAATTATCGACTGTTATCCGATTATTGGACAAACTGTTCGTGATCTGCTACTAACAACTGCTCCTTTGCCATGTACCGACGGAATTCGAGCAGGTTTTCTTCAAAATCCAGGTGGTATGTCATGGTTTTTACAGGTATGTCGAGTTAACAATTTACATTTGGTAAATAATGCTGGGGGTGGTTAACTGCGCCTACATTTCGATTCTAGATGGTATGCGATCTTTGGGCTTACCCGATATACCTGACAATGTCCAGCAATTTAGGCCAATCGCAGCAGATGAACTAAGTTGTCGTCCGAATCTTTTAAAGATTCATTAAAAACCGAATACGAGATAATTAGGGACAACTCGTACAACGCGAGCTCATACAATAACTGGCCAAGTTTTGGAGCCCAAAGAAATTTTATTATTAAAAAGTTCTGTTCTTCGACTAACCTACAACAACAACTCAGGAAATTCATGGGAGTTCAGGACTCCCAAGATGAGGATGAAATGCGATCCGAAATTGCAATTCGGGTAAAACTTGTGCCCCCGGGTGATTATTCATTCTCTACGATAAAATCCATTTGGCTAGATTTCATTTAAGACCGGTTTACCGTTGATGACTTAATCAGCGGTATGGCCCAAGCCTGACGATTTCAGTTACCAGTTCGATTCTATTAAGCAAATACAATTCATCGAGTCGTGAAAGGAATTTGTCGCCTCGTTGCAACCGAAATAAACAACGAAGAGCATAGTGAGCGACATTCAAATTTTGAGAAATATCTCGACGACTGAAAATTGAGCCAACGACGTTCAAAAAGCTGAAGGCATTTCTGGGTCTAACAATTGCAACGGGAATTGTGACAATGCCAGTTATGGTCACGTCTAGGTAAGATAAAACAATGGAATTCATCGGGGCACGTACAAGACGACGTGTGTGGCGGACACTTTGGAACGTCGTCATTCCCATTAAATCCAAAATCCTTGTAAAATGTGCATTCCTTCCCTTATTGTAGGGCAACATAACGATATTAAACACTATTAAAAGAGTAGGTGGATTTCACTCACCTGTTCAAACAAAAGTTCCAAAATTAGCACAGGGCGATGAACAGGTTGAAAATATCCGATAACTGTTTATTTCATATGGCTTTACTTCCGATATAATATCCTTCAACGATATAAGAAAAAGACTTTACAGCGATCATACTAGACGCCGAGATGCGTAATTGTACCTATTTGCATAGGATGTACATCGTTGAGACAAGTCTGGTGTTTGTGACGAAGACATTATTCAGAATCATTTGTCTTCGGGAATGTACGTATCGGAAATCGATGCTTATTAGATGTGACGAGCAAAACACGCAAAGCAACTACAGACTTCCCAGTAATCAACGATATTAAACACTATTAAAAGAGTAGGCGGATTTCACTCACCTTCTCAAACAAAAGTTCCAAAATTAGCACAGGACGATGAACAGGTTGAAAATATCCGATAACCGTTTATTTCATGGCTTTACTTCCGATATAATATCCTTTAAAGATATAAGAAAAAGACTTTTCAGAGATCATTCTAGACGTCGAGATGCGTAATTGTACCTATTTTGCATAGAATGTACATCGTTGAGAAAAGTCTAGTGTTTGTGACGAAGACATTATTCAGAATCATTTGTCTTCGGGAACGTACGTATCGGAAGGAACGTACGTATCGGAAATCGATGCTTATTAGATGTGACGAGCAAAACACGCAAAGCAACTACAGACTTCCCAGTAATCGGACGGTGAGTTGATCGAACCAAATAACAAGTTTAACTAACATTCAGTTGTTGTTTAAAGGTGAGAAAAACTGTTTTGTGTTGGAGCTCATGCTTCCATATATGATAAAATAAAAATGATTTTTCTAGGTTCCTGCATAATGGACGCAAACGCGCTAGACGTTCATGCTTATACTGCAACGCTACTGATCACAACGTGCGAACATGTGCCGTAATAGGTTTTGTCGACGTAATGGTGAAAAGCAATTGCTTCAATAGGTGGTGCCTGGGAATGACGCCATTTCTACTAAAACGAACAACAAGAACGTTGTTGCGGTAATTGAATTTTAACGCAATGGTTGCTGAAGTTCATTGACCAGCGGCCAAAATTAGAAGCGGAAGATATTCGCAGGCCAGAAGAGAGGAGCTATGCAAGGGACCGATAACGGTATTTGAAACACCGGTATAATTAAATTGTTACAAACTGTGATAGAGGCAAATAAAAAGAAAAACAGTGTTCAACCATTCCATTCAAGTTCGGTGGGCCATATTAACGTTGCGCAGGCTATGGAAACACTGCTTCAACGGAAGATAACTCAACACAATAAATTATCGACTGTTATCCGATTATTGGACAAACTGTTCGTGATCTGCTACTAACAACTGCTCCTTTGCCATGTACTGACGGAATTCGAGCAGGTTTTTTTCCAAATTCAGGTGGTATGTCATGGTTTTTACAGGTATGTCGAGGTAACAATTTACATTTGGTAAATAATGCTGGGGTTGGTAACTGCGCCTACATTTAGATTCTAGATGGTATGCGATCTTTGGGCTTACCTAATATACCTGACAATGCCCAGCAATTTGGGTCAATCGCAGCAGATGAACTAAGTTGTCGTCTGAATCTAAACCGAATACGAGATAATTAGGGACAACTCGTACAACGCGAGCTCATACAATAACTGGACAGGTTTT